TACTGTTTCATGAGAAACTATTTGTTCTGTAAGCCTTCACCTTAAGTAAAATAAAATATAAAAAAAAAGAAGAAAAAAAAAAGTGTTCCCCCTGCCTTCAGCTTCTCCTCTCTCCAGCATTTCTCCCCATGCTACAGCCAATGATCTTTTATAGAACATGAAAATCTTTCAGTGGTTCCCTATGGCCCAATGGTGAGGTTCAAACTATGACATAAAAGCTTTTTCCAGATGAAGTCTCAAATCTACCTTTCCAGCTTCTTTCCCTGCTGTCCTGCTCTTTCATCTATTGAGAACAAATGGCTTTCCCCTCTTTCTGCCTCAAATTTCCCATTGGTCCTTCACCCTCAGGCTCCAAGTGTCTAGCAAGCAGTGCCTGGGCAGATGCAAAAAGGACATGGTCTCTGTCTTCAGGGTTTGCTCTTTCTTCTGAGTCAGACAGCCTGGCCCAGGGTAGGTAGGTACTGACATAGTTATTAAGTGAACACAAGTAATTATAATACAATTTGATAAACTGCCAGAATAGAAATAAATTGACAAATTGTCTTGGGCAGAGCGTTCTGATCTTGAAGGACCAATGAAGGCTGTGATCTTCACGGAAGCAGATTGCTGTATCTTTCTCCCATGGAGTAGCTGGTGGGTTCAATCCGCTGACCTTTTGGTTAGCAGCCGAGCACTTAACCACTGTGCCAATAGCGTATTCCTACCTACTTCACAAATTAAACACTGGTTCCCAAACCTAGCTGAGTATCAGAATTAACTGGGAACTTTAAGAAATAGGCAGAATGAGAAGGATAGGGGAATTTACATTTTTTAAGTCCCAAGTGAGTCTCGTGGATAGCCAGATTGGGAAACCATAGATAGGAGGCTTAATTATTCATAAAGTACCTGTTACATCCCTGAAAGTGGGATTTCTGCCCAAGAGTTGTGAAAACCAGCACATGGAAAAGCATCCTGGGCTTAATCACACATGTAACGAATCATATGACATGATATTCCCAATTCCAATTCAAATCACCAGAGCTACTCTGGAAAGAAACAAGCAAACTGCCAGTAATCGCCTGCTTCTCAGCCCAGCCTTCAATCTTCACAGCGAAAAGTCCAGCCAGGGAGGAGTGGCTGTTTGCACTATTCAGAGTATTAACACTCAAAATTTTAAAGGGGCAGGGACCTCACAGACAGAATTGGCAATGAATCAAGAAGTTGGCAACTGCGACCTCTCCTATTATTAGATCAGTGTTACTCAAAAGGTAGCTCAAAACACAATGATGTTGTTGGCAACGAGCTGTCCTTCAATATAAGCGGCAGCGTTCTCTTCTATTGTTTCCCTATTTCCCCAGGAATGGAGGGATGCACAGCCCTGCTCCTTCTGTCTTCTTGCCTGGGATGACTCAGAAGAAGGCCTGTCCAAGCTCAAGGATACAGACTCAGACTGCTCACCCTTCCTCCAGAAAACATGGTTCAGGAGTCATGGCATCTGCTTTCAAGTCTCTGTGGGTTCACACCTGGAAAAGGGATTAAACTAATTCTATATAAAGGGCCCCAGGTCTCAGACCCATGGGTGGAGGCTACAGAAATGCCATAGAGTACATTACAGTCAGATATGCTGCCCCTGCTAATCCAAAATTCTGAAGCATCCTGTTTCCTTAAAAGTAAAATCCAGTAATTCTGCTTCCAGGAATTAATCTGATAGATATTTGACACTTCAACAAAAGCATGTACAGAAACTATTGCTGTTGTCACTCTAATAGCAAAAAATACTAGAAATACAGCTGAGACCATCTTTAAACCTTAAACCAAAAATATCCCCTGAAGTCTTCTTAAAACCAAATAATAGTTTAGCTTAACTACTAAGAAAAAGTCTACCTTGAGCATTCTGCTCTTTTAAGAACTATCTACATGGGATCAAATGGACAACAGCAACTCGAAAAATTAGACAGAAACCTTAGGGGACAGTGAGTTTTTGTTAATGAGGAACAACTCAGAAAAGCAGGGTGAGAAAGGTTACACAACTCAATGTAATCACTGTCCCTAAACCATGCACGTGGAAACTGCTGAACTGGTGTGTTTTGCTGTGTATATTCTCAACAACAAAATAAAATTTAGGAAAAAAAAAAAACCTGGAAACTTTTCTAAACGCTCCCCAAGAGATAATGGGTTCCATAAATTACTAAATAATTTATATTATTGTAACAGCTAGAGAGGCTACTAAAGTAATAGCTAAAGAGGCAGCAGAGAGGGATATGGAAACTTAAGACAGACAACCTTCAAGTTGTACATTTTAATTTACAATTTTTACCAATAAAAAGGTTTAATTACAAAAAAGGAAGTTCTCTATACAAAATAAGGATTTTTTTTCATTCACAAAGAGACTTCACAGTCGTGGCTTGTCTTTTGCCAAGTCAAAACTTAAGGAGCCTGTTTAGCTAAAATGACTCTAAAAACAAAAGGTAATGCAGACAAGATCAATAAAATTATCAGCTTCACAGGCATGTTGAAGAGGAAGAATTTAATTAACATTTCATCTTAAATTGAAGATTCTGAAGAATACTTGTAAACCTTTACAAGCTACTGCTCTCGGCTGATAAGACGGTGTACAAGAGGCATTAGCTCACTTACCATTAGAATCCTGTTACATGGACAACGGGCTTCCACTCCCGTACAGCAAGTGCACATGCAACATAGTAGGAATAATGGCTTCTAAAATTTTCATGAGTACATTTTATTGTGGCCACAAGTCAATGGCAGAACATAAGACAGTTAACGCTCTGACCCTCCCCACCTACTCTTTTATATCATATAAATCAAATACGGAGAGGAGGTACACACAAACTTCATTAAAAATAAGGAGCTGTTTTCAAACCCTCGCTTCCTAGCACAACACGTACCACTATTCAAGAGTGGGCAAAAGAACGGTCACACCGTTAAAGCAAGTTTTCTGAAAAGAAACTGATCAGAATGTTCAAAGCCTTTTCATCTAAGTATGGCAACTGCTAAACACTGTCCCTAGCAGTCTGCTTACAGAATAAATGCATTAAAAAAAGAAAAAAAAACATGGAAAACACTGTAGCCTTCAAAAAACTTTATTTGGTGATGAGCCTAGCTCTGATGGAAAAAGCCCACTTGCGAAAAAGGAGCTGTGGGATTTTAAGCTGGTCTGATTCGCAGAGCTTGTACATTCATGACTCAAAATAATAGACTCTCAGATCCAAATGATTCCGAAGCCATCACAACCCCAGATTATTTGTAATTCACTCCGATGTGCTGCTGTTAGCTTTAAAATCACCTACTTCCAGAGGAGCTGCACGTTCCTCACAATTAACTGACGAGCTTGGCAAAAAAAAAAAAAAAAAAAAAGACCCTTTACATACGGCAGGAGGTTCTCCCTCTACTCCATGAACACGTGTCCATGAGAATGAAATGGAACCAGTGTCCAGGTGCCTCTCGGAGAGAGTATCTCCCTGTGGCGAATGTGATTTGGAGCCTCCCAACACCACTCTGGGCTCACACCAAGCCGGGGTGCCCTACGTCTGTATATGGCCACCACAATTTTAAAACAACCCTGCATAAGATGCAACTCCGCAGTAGTTTTGATTACTTAAGTTAGGAAAAAAAATGCCTAGCAACAAACCCCATACCTCTTCAATTCAAATCTGTGTCCCTCACTGACCCAGTAGTGCTTTTTTATAAAAATATCTGAAGATGTGGCAAATGGTCGCATCTGATGCCAGGTCACAATTCCAAAAGCTGAGAAAGTTCTTCGTCCACTGCTCCAGTCTCCTCCCCTACTGTTACAGTTTTGCCACCAAAGGAGGAAAAATTGTGTGAACAAGTTCTTTGTGACCAAGCCTTGGCAAAAGTCAATAAATAAACGAGCGTGTCAAAGGCAGAGCCATTTTATGTGCAACCTCTTCTAGTTGCAAATTTGGGGGGTTGGAAAAAATAGGAGGGAGGCGTGTGGGCAAGAATGAGTTAAGAGTCCCTTGGCCAAGGGTTTGGTTACTCAATCCCAGAGGCCCAGCTTGGAGCCAGCAGATGAGGGCCTGCTCAAACCCATTATTCAGACCGGAAGGGAAGAAGACACGACACCAAAAAACAGTCAGATGTGAAATTTGCACAGTTGATATTTGTTCTTCATAGCAGTAAGGACTTGAATGAGAATCACGGAACTGGAGAACACTTATATTTTTCTTCAGGATTTAAAAAATTGTGTCTTGTACCGAAAGACTACATTCAGTGTGGGTCAGGTCCAACAGCGTTAGCTAGAACTCGGTTGTGAAGCACACCCAGCACTGGGGGAAGCTGCATCTGAGCGGAGCGGCTGGTGGGCAGGCTGAGGCCGCTCTTCACTGGTCTCCAAGCCGAAAGCCCTGGCCCCAGTTGTGTCTCCCGCCACCACCGTTCTGATCAGCAGCTCGCCGCATGCTAGCAGGGGGCACGCCAAATCCTGAGACCCCTCCTCTCCTGCTGGGAAGCCAGCGGTACCTAGGGCAGAGAGGGGCAAACAAATCAAGGGGGAAGGAGAGCAAAGTCACTCCCACAGTCAGCTTACCATGCAGCACGTCTCCCTTTCCTGGTGTTCCCATACATCTGTCACGCTGGGTGACGTTAGTCTGTGGCCGATGGAAGACCAGGGACAACGGCTTACTTAACCCTGCAGCACTTAGCGCTAATGCCCTGACCACAGAAGGTACTCACTATTCATGGTTCTAAAATTCATTAAGCTTCCAGCTAATTCACGATTAAACATTTTCTATCTGGTTATAAAAGTAATGCATGCAGAATAATGTAGAAAAAATACTACACTCACGAGCCCTACAACCAAAAGAACCACTGACAACATTTTGATACATTTAAATATCAAACTGGATCAAAGGATACAAAATCACTTTCACAGGACAAGTCCCCAGGCTATGTGTGTGCACCATACATGTTTCTGTGGACACTCCCAGTGTTCCAGAGCCCATCAAGGGAACAGAGGAAGAGGCTCTATGTCTTGGAATCTGCAATATGTTTTTTAGGTTTATTCATAATCTGCCCTTAAACTGCATTCTTTCCACCTTATAGATGAGGAGAAAGCTGAGGACCAGAAAGGTTAGATGATTTTCCACCTTACAAATAAATTAAGAGTCACTGAAGTGCTAAGAAAGAACTTAAACCCAGGTCTACACTCTCAACTGCTCTATTAAAGTTGGGCAGTTCAAACCCACCCAGCAGTACTGCGGAAGATAGGCCTGGCAATCTGCTTCCATTAAGATTATAGCCAAGAAAATCGTGTGGAGCAGTTCTAAAGTGACAGAGTCAGGATTCAAATCCAGGCTGACTGGCTCCGGAGTTTGTAACCTATACTACCTGTCCCCATGATTCAGCCGGACACAAAGAGCTGGACTCTGGAGATAGCAGTTAGTGACCGGAGTCCTTGTTTGTTTACGCCAGCCCAGATGCCTTCATGTTCCCTCCCAAAACAAGACGAGCCTCTCTTAAACAAAAATAACTCTGTGCAGAAGACGATCTATCTACTTTTCTGAACAGACTGTGAACACTGACATACCTTAGAATTCTACACCTCACATCTTCCCTCTTAAACATACAACAGCTTAGTCATTAAATCAAAAGGCATTGCCAAGTGCTGGTTTCTCAGTATCCATGACGGGTTCTGGTATAATCTTCTTCCAAAACATATAATAAAATAGAACATTTTAAAAAGGCAACACTAGGGCCGTCTTGCTTTGCTGTTTACTGTAAGACAATATGGAAACCATCTCCATTTCTTAAACAGATAGTGAAATTAAATGTAAGTAATTAGTATAAGAAGACATCCAATTACACATAATCAACAAAAATTTATGGAAATTTCAAAGCAGTTACTGTTTCTGCGAGGAGCTACATTTTGTCATCTGATCTTTATGCAAAATTTAACAGAAGGGCCTCCACCAACAGAGAAAGCTCAAGGAGGCAGGCTCCAGGGTGCTGATTTTGCCACTAGAACCTTGTATCCAATTGAGAAATATCTCCAAGCTGTTAGTCAGAATACGGCCATTTAAAATAAAATTACTGCTGGCTGCCCCTCAAAGCACCACGCTTTTTTTTAATTGATGCATCTGCCATCCGACTTGATAAACCTACATCAGAAATCCAAACCTGCTGTTACTGTGTCCTTTGATAATTAGAAAGCAGATTGGTCATTTGTTTTTCTAGCCTGAAGGCAACCCAAGGCTCAGAAGAGAAACAAGTTTCTTTTACGCTCTTAAAGAAAAAAGCACACAACACATCTCTGTTTTATTTCACGATTAAAAAAAGTCTTTCCAAACCGACCCCCCTAACCTATAAAAGGTGGCCGGGAGCGGGGAGGGGCCCTTGGGAGTCTACATAGGCTGACTGCCCTCACTGACTCCTTGTAAGAATGACAGAATTGCAGACATTCGTAAGAGCAAGATGTGAATGGGTTTTTGTTCTTTAAGCTTTTAAATGCAAGCTATGACTACATGAGGTGCAGCGTGATTGTCAGGCAGGCTGTGACACCCAGATGGTGATTTCACTGGTCCCTTTAACAGTCTTTGCTTTGCTGACAGAACGGTCAGACTACTCACATGCCTGTCAGATTCCCGCGCCACCCCCGACTTTCAGAACATGGCTTCCAGCTTCTACTTCTTGAGTCTCCACTACTGTGCGCTCAACAGTACACTTACCTCATACAGTCCTGTGAGGCAGCTGCCTCCATCCCCCCAACTTACAGACTCGCAAATTAAGGCACAGAGGTTTTATTAAGCAACTTTCCCAATATCGAACCTGGTAAGTGAGAGCAATGGGATGCAAACCCAAGTCTGTCTGGAAAGCAAAGCTGTGCCCTCGGCCTCCTCACTCTGTTGTTGTTGCTAGGTACCGTCAAATCGGTTCCGAGTCAGTGACCCTATGTACAACAGAACCAAACACTGCCCGGTCCTGCACCATCCTCATGATAGTTGTTACACTTGAGGCCATTGTAGCTACCGTGTCAATCCATCTCACTGAGGGTCTTCCTCTTTTTCATTGACCCTCCACTTTACCAAGCATGATGTCCTTGTCCAGGGACTGGTCCCTCCTGACATGTCCAAAGTATGTGAGACGAAGTCTCTCCATCCTCACTTCTAAGGAGCATTTTGGCTGTACTTCTTCCAAGACAGATTTGTTCATTCTTTTGGCAGTCCGTGGTATATTCAATATTCACTTTAGCAAACCCCAAGGCAGGAAGGAACGAGGACATACTTCCAGTAAGTCCTAGCTACAAAAGCCTCGGAGTCTCTCATTTTGACTTTGAAAATGCCTACAAAATGTTCTATTCTGTAAGGAGCTCTGGTGGCACAGTGGTTAAGTGCTTGACTGCTAACTGAAAGGTTGGCGGTTTGAACCCACCAGTGGCTCAAGGAGAAAGACGTGGCAGTCTGCTTCCATAAAGATTTACAGCCTTGAAAACCCTATGGGGCAGTGCCGCTCTGTCCTATAGGGTCACTATGAGTCCGAATCAACTTGACAGTAGTAGGTGGGGTTCTATTCTATAATATTTAACACAAAAGTGTTTAAGATCACTGGTCAGTTAACTAACTCATCCTTCCCCCCACCCCCCAACCTCCCCAGCCAACAATTGTGGGTGAAACTGATGCTCCAGGAGAATGGACCCTGTTATCTTGTTGTACTGCCCACCCCCGGCCCAGTGCTGTGCACCTGGAGCCGTGTCAGCTGTCCCAGCAAGCACAGGAGAGTGGACACTTTCTGTGATGCCTGGATCCAGTGGTCAGGGGCCCCTGGCTAACAGGGCTCCAGGAAGAAGTCTGAGCGGTACCTTTGATCCCTGGCTTCCCTGTGACTGTGTGACCAGAGTAAGTCACTTGCTGGCTCACATTTCTCCTTAAGACAAGGAGATGAATCCTAGCCCTCGTGGAGCTTTTGTAAGAACACATCAGAATACAGGTAGTAAGATGATTTTTAAACAAGAGAAAAAATAACTGCTTACAAAAACTGAGGTGTGGATAGAAAATTCCTTCCTCCCAAGTCCATTGGGTAGCGGAACATTAAGAAGAAATAAAGATGTCCAACAAGATTTCCAATTAGCTCATTGATTACTCTGCAAACAGAGAAGATTAGGTTAAAGACATTCACACAATAAACTGAGGCACAGCAGGTTTGAACGAACAGCAAGGGAAGAAACCCTTCACTGTGGCCAGTGATAGTCTCCAGAGTCTGTGACAGCACCACAGCCCTTTTGTGGGGTGAGTGGCAAATGCATTCCAAGGGAGTCGGGAAAGCAGTCCTGCTCAGCCAGTAAGGCCTGTGCTCTTCAAGGCCAGCAGCTCCTCTGCCATCTCTTTCAAGCCCCAGCCATGTCCAAAATATTGTTTTTGCTACTTTCTGCCTGAAGAGTTGGGGAAGCTGCAAAGCAAGCTCATGAATGCTTTCAGTCATCAATATCATATTTAAAAGCATAGACAAATATGAAGGCTAGCATGAGAGAAGCATGGAAGTACGGAAAACTAGGACGATAAATACCAGGCCCCCCACCCCCGGAGCCATTAGGCACTTCTCTCTTGCCTCTTGTATCCTTGGCTGTAAGATGCCACAGATATCACTCAGGAAAGCTGACCTTCACCCTGTAATCCTAAATCAACACTGACTGATTTCAGTTTCCCCGTGGCTTACATGCAGGCCACCTCAAGGTTTTATACACCCACTTTTACTATTAAGTATTCTTTTTTTGGTCTCCACCGGCAACATGATTCCTATCAGGGATAAATCAACGCCTGCAATGACTCCCAGACTCTACCGTTCTGGGCAGCAACACAGTTCTACCAAGCTCAGAGCTTGATACACTCTACACAGAGTCTGTTTGCGCAATTGATTCATTTCTCCTATCAATATACAGTAGAGGTTAGGACCACCCAGAACAAATATGTCAGACATATGAAGAACTAGTACTATTATCTATTAAAGTAGTAAAAGCATTTTACAGAATAACAATGGGAGTTCTTGGAATAGATGCATCTCAATATCCTCCCTTTAAAATTCCGACTGGATGCATTAAATATTTTCATAATTTTAGACCACCAAGACTAGAAATTTCTCCCAGCTTTGCCACAACTCTTGTGCTAGCAAACAACTTATAAAACTAGGTCCCATCTGAGAATCTTCATTTCTGTGACTGGTGAACAGTTTCCAAGACATTTTGGAAATGCCATAAGGATAAGAGACAAACTAAATTTTAGGCAGAGTTCTTAGGGGAGTCAGCTCAGACAAGAAGTAGGTCTATGTTTGCTTAATCTAGACAGTGAGTCCAGGAACAAATATTTATTCAAAAACACATATAAGGAAGCATACTGTGTTTAACAATAAACTAACAAAATAATGACCATTCAATGCTAAATGTGCTTAAAGCCCTGCAATTTAATCAATTACAGCAAGTTAAAATTATTTCGTAAGTACAAGGTTCCAATGCATCAATGCTGAGATTCTTTGAAGTTTTATAAAGACTAGAGAAAGAATATAAAAATTAATGGATGTTTTCCAAGGACTAGTTTTCAATCAAATAAATCTAATACTACTCACGAGCCTCCGATGATATAGTTGAATCCAAGGATAACCCAGGGTAGATAACAGGCCTAGGAAAGAATACACATAAACATGAATAGCCACAACTAGGATACAGCTGCTAGGGGGTGGAATGGGTAAGTTTATACTGACAACGGCTTTATATAAATTCTTGGGAAGTTCACTACAAAATTTCTCAGATCAATTTAGCATCATTTCCACTGTACTTAAAACTTCCTATCTCAAACTACACATGTTCATCTATCTGTAACTGGAGGGACAGAGTATTATGCTCAGAGTTCAGATGCAATACATACCCTGTTGGATTAATATTAACAAAGAACTTCAGAGAGTTAGAAATAGCCAATGATAGAATCACATTAAGACTTCAATGAGCAAACTGTTACAAATGAGCTAAATATATCCCATCTTCTCAGGTTCTTCTTTTACATGTATCACAAAATTACTCTGAATTTTTATCTCATTACACACTGATGTCTTGAACTAACATTCTCCCAAATATGACAGATCTCCAGAGGCGTTCAACATCTGAGCCCGTTACCAGATTCAAGACATTATACCAAGAACTAACGGAGTTGTAAGGAACACCAGAAACGAGTACAGAGAGGGTACACATAAATAACGTTAAGAGAAAATGTGTTAAATACTACGAGAAGAACCTAAAGTATTGCAAAAGCCCAAAGGCAAGACTAATCCCAGGCAGAAGACTCAGGAAATACATTCAGTCGCAACTCAAATTCAGAACTGGTAGGATTTAGATGAAGAAGAGAATCAAAAAAATATTACAGGTGGAAAAGTCTGAAGAAGGTTCAAAGGGAAGTGTTTTGGGGCAAAAAATTATTTTAGCTAACGTGTAAAGTATGTAACAGGGAGTAACAAGAACAGATTTTAAAAGGGAGTTTCATTTTAGTATCTTTCCCTGCCCCCTCTAACGCAGCATACATGAGATCACTTAGGGACAGATGCAGGAGGGGCCTGAGGTACAGAGGGAGAGGAGAAGCAACAGTCAGCAAATGACAGAGAACTGGCTCAAGAAATACAGCTGGACTGCGGAGAGAGGAAGGGGCTGGCCTAAGGTACATTGCTCTGCAGCGACCTCTTCTGGACGAGTCAGAAAGTGCATCTCTGGGCTGAAGAGAGGGATTTCTGCCACTGACCAATGAAAAGGAAATTCTTCCAACTAGGATAAAGTACCTTAAATCGTGTTCCAAACCAAAATGACACAATCATGTCTCTGTTCAGCTGCGCCCAGACATAAAGTACTGACATTATCAGAGGAATCATCAGCAACTGCAAAAGAAGTCAAGATGTAAAGACAAGGCTCCAGAGGCACTTTACAAAGATGCCAGTAGCATTGTGACTTTATTGTTCTTTTCACCCCCGCTCTCCAAAAGACTTCTCACATAGCTATCCAAAAAGCAAAAGGAAATTCAACTCATCAGAATTCTACTTGATCCTACAGTTTAACTGATTGCACAATGCATGCTACAAAATCCTGTAATAAAATAAACACTATGTTATTACAAATGGATTCAGAAATATCAGGAGCAAGCTCTGTTACTTGAAAAAAGTAGGCAACAAAGCTTTATTTACACTCTGATCCCAATTTTTAAAAAATACCTACCGAAACACACATATAGAAGATACTGGATAAATCATCATTCTCAATGTTCAAACATAATAAAGAAGCCAGAAATGAGAAAGAAGCCAGCAATGGTTTAAATAACTCATGTAAGATCTTCAAAGGCTTAGCTGACTTTCTCATGTAAGCACTTCAAAACAGAACAGCTATAAGTCTTTCAAACTACCATACTATATAGTTAATGCAATTTAAACTTCTGTCAAAGGCCCCTAATAGTTAAATTTGAAACCTCTAAAAGGACAAATAGATAGTTTCAAGGGACACTTACCTGCATATCCATTGCTAAGCCAGTAATCTTGGTTTGTAAAGTTAAAGATCAGATACAAACAAAGCATTCTGTACCCAGTCAAGACTGATCTGAATATTCTCCCCCCACTGGAAGTTAATTTCATTCCAGTGTTCTGAAGAAAAACACTTTTCTACAGTTCACACTGCTTAAGACTTTCAATAACCCAGTGGTATATAATAATTATCACTATGGATATTCCATTAGATTGTACTATGATGAGGACATAGGAGAAATTAACCACTTAGGCTCAGCGTGGTCCCTTTCGCCCTCTCTTCCCTCCCTTGTCACTGCATTTTAATATCTCTCCTTCAAGCAGAGGATGGAGATACCCGTGGCCTCTGAAACAAATCATGATTCTGCTCACATACAGGGCTCCACAGCATGACTGAAGTCCAAACCAATTTTTTTCTTCCCTTAAAGGAGGGGAGAGGGCATCCAATGTGCCACATCTCCTGGCTCTTGGCCAGGTTTAAAGGGAAGCTGAGCCCAGAGGCAATTCAGGGCTCACCAACTCTGCTCAGCACTGGAGCCATGAGTCCCTTCTGCTGCTCTCACCATCTGTAGGAGTCACAGCTGGAAGGCTGCTGACAACTGTGGTTGATGCAAAGCAGAGACTTACTGTGTCCTTTTTCAGAGGGACTGAATTACCTTTTAGGACCCCAAGACAAGGACAGCAGTGAAATCAGAAAAGGATGCCAGTTGTAAATTAATTTTCTGATGAGGACCACAGATCTCAAAAGCTGTCTCATGGCACGAACCCCCTTTGTGCTGCGGTCAACAAGCTGTCACACATTGAGAACACAGAGAACTCAGAACAAGAAGAGGGGAACAGTAATAAAACTCAACCAAATGTGGAAAAATCCCACAAACGCAATGCAAGAGAATGTATCACCCAAGTAAATCACTACTTGATTGACTACACAGCTTTGAAGAAGAACTTGACTCATTCTTCATTACTAACTATTGTAAGCAAAGATGCAAATACTGTCATTTGAAATTCTTTATAGAATACTATCTCCCCAAACCTGAAAAAACCTGGTTTACTTCTGGCCCAAAATAATAGACTGAAGGATACCACGATGCAAATCCAGTTAAAGAGGAGCATGAACAAATAGTCGGCTGGCCTCCCATCAAAAGCTCCTGGAAACAAAAATAAGCCAAATGTCACAGTTCAAAATTTCAGAACAAAGTAACTTCTATGTAGAGGAACACTTTAAAAAATTCTATAGAAAGCCAAACTAAGAATATTTTTAAAATCACTTCTCCCAAGTAAAAGAAAAGTGAATTCTCTTAAACATCTAAACCATGTCCTCAATAAAGCCCTAAACTAAAGTCACTGAGTAAGGTTCACTATGTTCTCCTAACTGAATTCCAATAAGTAACATGCTCTGATTACCATAGGCTGTATCAGACCTAGAGGATGGTCAAGTCCACAGTTACTGAGACGCCCATCCCAAAGACCATGAGGCCCTGGGAAGGCCCTAAGCCTGCCGCCCTTTCCTTCATGGGTCTCACCGTGACCCGATGATACACTTGTGATGACTTAGTCAATCACCACATCCTCCTGACAGGGGAACAACCCTATCTGTTTGCTTACCATTGTGCCTCCTCCAGCATGATTATGCATGGGAGGTACTTAATAACAACATAATAATTACTATTAGACACACACATACAACTACTTAGTCCCTCACTGGGCTGACAGGCACTAGAAAGACTCAGTCTCCATCTTACAGGAGCTTACACTCTAGCAAGGGGAAACGGTTGAGAGTAGAGAGCAGGAAGACAGCCTACCTTTCTATGGCCTCTCTCTCTCTTTTTTTTTTTAAACATTTTATTGTGCTTTAGGTAAAAGTTTACACAGCTAATTAGTTTTCCAATCAATGTCCACGGCCTCTGACTCTTAATCTTCATACTATATCTGTGAGGTAGAATGGAAAGACCCATGACCTCCTTTTTACAGACGGGGAAATAAAGTTATATAACCAAAGCCACATGGCTTGTTGGAAGCAGAGTCAAGTTTAATGACTAGTCTAGTGCTCTTGTCAGTCAGCATATACCAGGCTCAACCTTATTAAATGGGCAGATAATCAACAACAGCCCAGCTTTCCCTTCTAAGGATGAGTCCTGATGCCTCCAGTTAGAAGACAGTAAGAGAGGCAAAACAGGGAACAGAAATGATTGCAAGGCCAATCTAGCTCAAAAAGCTACCTATCCTCCCCTCTACACTTCATTCATGATATGCTAGCCAATTTAAAAAACAAAAAATCCTAAGTGTCAGTACAGCAGGAAGAAATATATCTAACAGAAAACAGTTTCAGCAAAAGTCTCTCCCACTTTGCTTTATTTCTCCCTTGTTAGCTCAAAGGCACACTTCAGCCATGGTGTTAAGGCTGCTTAATTCCAGGGGATCACTATGATGAATCAGAGCTGGAAGTCTAACAAAATTTCTGAATTTTAATGATAGTTGTGCCTCTTCTGATGTGGTTTGGCCTTGTGATTTTTAAAGACTCTTTAGAGTCAGAGTACTTAAAATATTGCAGTCAAACAGACTCTAGCCCTATATTATTTGGCAGGTTTGCAACTGGGAATTTATAAATTAACTGGCTTCAAACTGCAGTCTTCAAGTTCAAATCAGAAACCTCATATGTGAGCCAGCCCTGATATATACTTAACAATTTAGCCAGGAAGGGAAATATGTAGGTGGCAAACATTTTAAAATGTCAAAATGTTATACTGAGGCTGTATGGTGGAAAGCAGCCTGGGAATCAGTAAACTTAGTTTCCAGTCTTAGCTGTGTAAACTCAAATAGCTTTGTGACCTTTGCGGCATGTCACGTCTCCATACCATTGTTTTCTCGTCTGTGAAATGAAAGGGTTAAATTGAATATCTCAAAAGTTCCTCTCTTCCAAAGGGGCAGCTTCTGTCCAGAGGTGAGATGGGAAGGCAGAGAGAGTTAGGAGCTGGTTGAATGGTCATGGGGAATCAGTGGTGGAAAGGAGGAGTGTGCTGTTGCAGAATGGGGTGAGCAATTAGGGTCACATAACAATGTATGTTAAAAAAAAGTTTGTATGGGAGACTAACTTGAAATGTAAACTTCATTTAATTACAACAATTAAGAAAAAAAAAAGTTCCCCTCTTACACGAATGTCCACAGCAGTACTTTTCATAATAGCCACAAAGTGGAAACAAGCTGATGAATGGATAAACCATATTGCATAATTCCATCTATATGAAATGTCCAGAACAGGCAAACCTATAGAGGCAGAAGTAGATTTGTGGTTGCCTAAGGCTGGAGAGGAGGAAATGTGGAGTGATTGCTGATGGGTATGGGGTTTCTTTATGAGGTGATGAAAATGTTCTTGAATTGATTGTGGTAATGGTTGCACAACTCTGTAAATATACTAAACCACTGAACGGTATACTTTAAGTGGGTGAATTGGATGGTATGGGAATTATATCTCAAAAAAGCTATTTAAAAAAATGCCTCTCAGCTCTACCATTTCATAATGCTCTGTGGAGAGCCATTTGCTATTGGGGGGGGAGAATCAGAATGGTCTGCTTACATGCATATACAATAACTGCTCTGAGTAAACCTTATGTTCCGACTTCTTTGAGATTTGATTATTTTTAAGTTTTTGGTGTCAGAAGCGAGATCCAAAGATGATCACCAAACGTCCATTTTTTGGTGAGAGATCAAATTCAATACTAAACATGGGCCCTTTGTGCCCAATTGGTCTCTCACCACAGCTGGGGAACTTGATGAACCTGTCCTGGGTTCGAGTTCTACTCCCTTTGCGACTGGAACGTCCTATCTGAGAACGCTGCTCAGAAAATTAGGTATGACCAGATACTTTAGAGCAACTAAGATTGACTTTATGGAGCCAATGCTTACAAAACCCTCCCAGGAAATCTAACCTGGTAACTCAGTTATAAGGTTCCCAGCTTTACAGCTGAATAAGGAAGGTCGTTCACTTCCTGGCAGGCCCAGAAACCTTACGATATTTTAGGACCTTGAGAAAAGAACACCCTCAAACCTGTAGGTACTACAGGTGAGATCTGGTGGCATTCTTGGCTTGGTTTCCTGGCCTCAAGAGTCTTTTACAAATTTAATCTGAAGTTCCTTATGAAAACTTCCAGCAAAGCAGTTTTAAATGGCTATGTGATAAATTACCATTCTCGCTGCACCTGTGTAAATAATACTCAACAGCCACATTTTAGATCAAGAAAAACTCTGCTTTGAGATTGTCTTTGGATTGGGAGGAGGGTGACCATACAGAGAAATTTTATGTTTAAATAGGAAATTATGGCAACCCTTTGTGGGCTATTGAATTCTGGGTTTTGTTAATTGTCTCTGAGAAACCACAGACAACTAACGAGTTTGTTTTCCACTTGCAGACTGGACTTGTCACATGGTTTACATTGTTCTCTGTATATCTGTGCATAATCAATTACCTAAAAAGAAAATTGGAAGTATGAGAGATTAAGACCGAAGGCCATCAAACAATTGACTAAACTGCTATCAAATCAGGGCCGATTGACAAAAGGAGCATTAATTGGCTGTTCTATAACAACCAGGACACCCACAGTTACAGAAATTGGTTTAAACACTGTGTTTGTGTGTGTGTGTATGTGTGTATTTTAAGGTTACAAGTGATGTTAGGCAAGATGGCTCTGTTAATAATCTAAATGATGCTATAGCCCCTCTCTAAAATAGCACACGTAAAGATAATTACATTATAAAATAGATTCCCAAATCCACTGCCGTTGAGTCGACGTAATAGTGACCCTATGGGACAGAGCAGAACCACCCCATAGGGTTTCCAAGGCTGTAATCTTTACAGAAACAGACTGCTACATCTTTCTGCTGCAGAGCAGCCGGTGGATTTGAACCACCAACCTTTCGGTTAGCAGTCAGGTACTTTAACCACTGCACCACCAGGTCTTAAAATAGATTAGCTCTTGATTATTTACCTGCTTCTCAAGGAGGTGTTTGTACTTTGATAAAAGCAAATTGTTGTGTATTTACTAATGACACCTAAGTGGAGTGTGCTGAGATAGAATTTTAGCAGAAGTTCATGCTAGAGATGCAAGGCAGGCTGCAGGTGCTCCTCTTGCACTTTTTGTGGCTTGTTTTCATGGTTAGGAAATGCGGGTCTGCGGGCCAGACAAGCCTTTCAAACCATTAGTTTATGCATTCTCCTCATTTTGATCCTTTATATTACTATCAAGCTTCTAAGCTGCTTGGCTTCTGGGGTCTTAAAAAGTTGTGAGCGGCCAATCTTAAGGTACAGCAAATGGCCTTCATCTGACTGGAGGAACAACAAAGAAGTTAAGGAAACAACCAAAATAATGTATGTTTCACAAAAAGTTACCTCATAAAGCAGTACCTATGAGAGCCAAAGAAACCTAGATGGTGCCTGGCCAACACTTAATTGATCAAAGATTCTAATCGAATCATGATCAAGAAGGGGGAGACGTCAAAGAGAAAAATTATTAACAGACATCTTACTTTGATTTTAATGTTATTTTAAGGTTATAATAATCTGGTATCAGTTGATCTCAGTAAAGGGGGAGGGCAGGGTTCAATCAATCATGTTAAGATTAGCCAATGGTTGATCTTCTATTCTTCTCCTTCCTCTTCTCTTTATAAGCCTCATTGTAACTAGCCTTCTTCGAGCCATTTGCTTGGTTTTGGAATCAGAATGGTCCCTCTATATGCATATAGAATAACTGCTCTGAATAAATAAAGTTTATGCTGAAAAAAAAATTCTCTGTGGATGGGAAGTAGGGAATGAGGGGGCAACTTTTAAGAGCAAGTGAAAGAGAGCATCCTACAGATGTACCTTAAGTGTTATGTAGGTAGGATGATAAGATTACATATTAGTTGTATTACCTGATAGGTAAGTAGAGATGGCTAAACAGGCTCAAGGACCTTAAGTAAACAAGAGAAGATAATTTACAAAATAAAAAGTGGTCATAGAATTACTGTAATTTAGGTCCTTTTATTTCAGAGGCAAATAAATACTGAAATATTTATGGATAGAATCATGTCTGGCATTTGTCTCAAATAATCGGGCGTAAGGAGACAGACCCGGATACAGAGAAAATAAAACTGGCCGTGAGCTAACTGCTGAAGGTGAGCGCGGTTAAAAAGTTAGGGCTCATACTGGCACACGGTCATACTGCTACAGCATGAGTGAACCTTGAAAACATTATGCTAAGTGAAAAAAGCCCATCACAAAAGGCCACATATCATATGATTCCATTTACATGAAATGTCTGGAATAAGAAAACCCAGAGACAGAAGCTAGATTAGTGGTTGCCAGGGATTGGGGGGAAGGGGGCGGGCGGCTGCTTAATGGGTGCAGGGTTTCTTTCGGGGATGATGAATATGTTCTGGAATCAGACTGTAGTGGTGGCTACCCGACACTGTGAATGTACTTAGTGCCACTGAAATGTACACTTTAAAACAGTTAAAATGGTAAATTTTACGTTATGTGAATTTTATCTCAATAAAACAAAAGGAAAAAAGTGTGTTCTTAACCTTTCTCTCTACTATTGCATATGTTTGGAAATTTTCCATAATAAAAATTTTAAAAACTGGTTGTGAATACTTAACCTGGCATTTACTACTGATATTAAAAATATTATTCCAACAACTTAATCTTCAATTAGATTATACCAGAGGGGTAAAATGCCAAGTAAGACAGCATCATAATCAAGTCCAACAGGGACAAGGGAAAATGAAAATCACATATTCTGGTAGATTTAAAGCGTCAAACCCGATATGGTGGCTAGAGTCCTAGTTGTCAGTGTTATCCCAGCCAAGTCACTTCACCTTCCGGAATCTTCTGCTCTTCCTCTGTGAAACTAGGGGAATGGGACAGGTTCCTTCCAATAATAACATCCCATGACCCTACACTTTCCATTAATATGATGACTTTTTTCTTCTTAAAAAGCACCTAGTAGCAAATGCCAATTTAAGGGAAAATTCTACTTGACACCAAATGACCATCCGTCTACCTCCCTGCAGTTATTGAGACTGATGCACACTTCTCACGTGTATGAACACTGACTTAAAGACAGTTCAGAATTCTCGACCCTGAGCTAACAGCTAGCAGGTTTATAACATCTCTGAAGTCAGCCAACCTTTTCAAAATCATTTAGGCTTGACAGTAGAATTATTTTCACATTTTAATACAGCAATATTGATTTATTGCTTTTTAGCATAAGCAACTTAGAACAGCATATAAGATGTTGTTGGAAATAAATTAAAATTCAGTAAGAAACTTTTAAGATTTTTATGGCTTATCTCTAACACTGTATAGGGTAGTCATATCTGACAAACTGCCATATTATTAAATCTCAGCAATATATTTTAAACTTGAGTGTTTCATTACAGAGATTAAGTATAAGCTTTTAATTCCTTAGTGTTTTTCAGTCCCTATCGAGAAGATATATACAGTGTAACCCAATTAAAGGGCAAGGATTTCTCTGTGATGGAAATGAGTAAGATATCAAATTGAGGACACACTGCTCAGCCTCTAAAATGATGGGTAAAATATGTAAACTTCTCACCTGTTTTTTCCCCTATAAAGTGATGACACTGCTACTTATACCTCGTAAGAGTGGTGTGAGGATTAAAAATAATCTCCGTGTCTAGTACAGTCATGGCAGTTACTGCTTACCGAGTGCTCACTATCATTAAGCCGCTTCTATGTATAATCTAACTACCCTCAAAATTCCTCCAAGTAAACATACAGATCAGTAAATTAAACAGAAATAATACTTAAGACAACATACCTGTTTCAAGTCGTGTAGAATACTGATATAAGAAATATAAATTGACCAAATAAAGAAATCCAGTTCCTGGACCCACAGGGAAGTAAAAAGTGGCAGTGATTGGCCTCCAGATCTGTCCAGATCAAAATAAACAGGTATTAGTTTCTCTAAGCCTGCTTATCTTTTTTTTTCTTTTAGAGATAAAAAAAAAAAAACCTTTGCAAAGCATTCTCCTCAGTGATGAGAGCTACTAAAGAGACACCACTAATACAATTCAAGGCAACTGAAGAAAAGTTCATGTCAGTTACAATCACATCAATCTGTAAACTTATGGAATTAAACAACATAAAATAAGCAATAACTATTTCTAAACAAACTGAAAAAAATCAACACTATACAAGTACATAATCGGTCTTTACTGAGCTGAGACATACATTTAAAAGCTTATGTCAAAAATGAATTACAATGACTTAATTCCAACAGTATAGTAATACCTCTATTTACTAAGAAAATACCTTAAAATGACAAACTTTGTCAAAAAAAAAAAGCATATTCAAAAGGTAGAAGTTAAACACGAACGTGTCATTCAAACAAATGTGGTAAACAGGCAATACGGGTACATGATTTAAAAACATTTCTTCCCCCCAAAAAAGAAAATTCCACAAGGGTCTATGGCGAGAAGTAAGACTCGCTCCTGACTCTCAATCTCTCAGTTTTCTTCCCAGTAAAAACTGACCAGTTATTTGTACTTGCTTCCAGAAATAACAGTGTGTGTACTCCCTCCCGCTTCATCCACTTCATACTGCACTGTTCTATACCTTGTTTCATTCCCTTGACACAATAGTTTCATTGGCTTTATAGCATTCCTTTCAAGTGGATGTCCAAACTACATTTCAACAGTTACAACAGTGCTGCAATGAATATTCTTGTATATCCTCTTTCTGTGTATATGTATACACAGGATAAATTCTTGGAAGTCAAACTGCTGGATCAACAGACACATGCATTTAACTTCAGCAGATAACTGTCTAATGCCAACGAAAATGCTTTATCAACTTAACAC